GCCCGGCATGCCGGAGATTTTGCTGGGTATGAATTACTTATTACTAGAACCTAGGCTTCTCGCGGCCTGGGTGAGAAGGTCACGGAACCTCAAATTATGCTTACAGGGCATGCGAAATTCTGTTGCATGCCAATTTCAATGCAAAACCACTCTGGGGCCACCCCCTCTATTACCAGTGAGCAAATCATTGACGATAGGCATGGGAAAAATCCTTGCATGCTAACCAACATTGAAAACGTAGCAGAAATGTCCTCAGTTGCTGAGTCATGCCCTAGGGGAGGTTTTAAAATACAGAATTTCCTGACATGGATGAGGGAATTTTCAGTAAACAGCATGCGATCATGCCGGCTAGGACGTATTGCGTCCGTATTGCCCCTTTTTACAGCTAGCTAGGCTCATTTTTAGGTTCCATGGCCTGAAATGACGAAATATTCATGCCCTAAATGTAAAAAGTCCAAAAACGTCCTCGAAATTTTAGTTTCCAAGCCGTTCACGTGCAGCACATTTGTTTGTACATTTCCTTGTCTTTATTTTGCACGACTAAAACGTGAAACTTCTTTTAGCTTCCTATTTACACGTGTTGTGGAGGAAATGTTTGTGTTACTGTTCACTTTGTTTTTTCACTGCCGCTCATTTTCACATAGGTAGCCGCTAGCATTTCTCATTTTCTAATCGCTGCTATATAATTTTCATGTTTTTCTTCCAACGAAGTTAGTCTCCGTTGTTATTTATTTCACGCCCCTAGCTCTTTCCCTGTTATCTAAGATAATGAAGACATTAAAACTTAGTGGAAAGAAAGACTCATTTTTTTTTCTCTAAAAGCCCGGACGGCTGGGCGATTTACCGCCGAAACGAGCGAGGTGCTCGAAATGACAAAATTTCACCTCAGCTGTAACATACTCCTCCCCCGACGGGCTGACACTTGTGATTCCCTTCCCTCACCCCTAAAGAGTGTAATGACGGACGGAGTACGCTGATGTCATTACCAAATTTTCTCGGATGGGTAGATAACTAAATTTTCTTACCCATGGTGCTCCGCTGCGCGCGCTTCGCGCGCGAGAGCTCGCTGTAAACCACTAAAATACGCTTTTTGTTGCTATCAACAGCAGTCAAGGATCTGGGCCATCTCTCTTGGTCAGGTAAGAGATAATTCGTTTTTTCAGTTACAAAAGAGAAAGTGAAACAAAGCCACTTTAATCGCGACAGATCACAAAACCAGAATTTAAAAGATAACAGTCACAGTTTTTGCCACCGTTTTCAAGTCATTTTTTAGATGACAATAACCACACACTTGCTACATTGAAATTATGCCATACTGGCGGAAAATGCGCTGGCATAATAAGACCAGAGGGGTGGAGTGGGGAAAGAAACTCAAGGAACTACATCGCAGCTGATATTCGACCAGTTTTGCCTGCGTTCCTGGACTTTTTTCACAGTCTAAGTATCTTATAGATTTTATCTTGCGGAGGAGGAAGCAATTTGGCTTTTTTTTCTTCACTTAAGAGAATTCCCCATGTTTCATGGTAAATCAATCTTCATGTAATATGTGAACTGGACTGGACTATTTAATAGAAGAATTCACTCAGGTGTTTGCTGCTTCATTGGTCTTACCGAGATTATTACAACCGTGATGATACACACATACTTTATTATAAAATTACTTTAACATGGTGTCCGTAGTCAATTATTTGTAGATATATCATATTATTACAAATCATGACAGAAAAAAAAAATCAAAGACGCTATGACTGATGTACACCTGTAAGAGTTCCTCGTTGTATGTTGATGATTTTTTTGTTTTTGCTCCTAGGAGGACCGTCCGCTGCCAGATTTGCTGGAAACCAGCTCGTTAACTTACTAAGTCTCCTGAATGATCCTAATGAGCCTACTGTTCTAAAAATGGTAGGAAATCAGACATATATACCCCTTAGAGGAGAGTGGATTTACATACTTTATCTGTTAACTGCGGCACACTTGTACAACATTGCAAACCTACACATTTCAAAGAGGAGCTAGTTTTTCAAACTGACGGTCTATTAAACTCTAAGAATTAGTTGATTTTTAAGCATTTGCTATTTGGTCATACACATATATACTAATGATGATTTAGTACTGCACGATAAGTAATTATAAAATGGTTTAAGTAGTCGCTTTTACATTTGAAAAAGACTATCCACGCTGTTTTGCTAATTATGTCATATCTAAATATCCATTTAGTTTACAGTTCAAGCAATCAGTGAAATTTGCTGCGCCAACAAGGAAAATCAAGATAAAGCGAGGTATGATAAATTCATTATATTATTATATTATTATGAAGTATCTGCGACTGGCCAATGATGCGNTTGCAACCGTGATGATACACACATACTTTATTATAAAATTACTTTAACATGGTGTCCGTAGTCAATTATTGGTAGATTTATCATATTACTACAAATCATGACAGAAAAAAAAAAATCAAAGAGGCTATGACTGATGTACACCTGTAAGAGTTCCTCGTTGTATGTTGATGATTTTTTTGTTTTTGCTCCTAGGAGGACCGTCCGCTGCCAGATTTGCTGGAAACCAGCTCGTTAACTTACTAAGTCGCCTGAATGATCCTAATGAGCCTACTGTTCTAAAAATGGTAGGAAATCAGTAATACCTACTGACTCCGACACATATACCCCTTAGAGGAGAGTGGATTTATATACTTTATCTCTTAACTGCGGTACACTTGTACAACATTGCAAACCTACACATTTCAAAGAGGAGCTAGTTTTTCAAACTGACGGTCTATTAAACTCAAAGGATGAGTTGATTTTTAAGCATTTGCTATTTGGTCATACACATATATACTAATGATGATTTAGTACTGCACGATAACTAATTATAAAGTGGTTTAAGTTGTCGCTTTTACATTTGAAGAAGACTATCCACGCTGTTTTGCTAATTATGTCATATGTAAATATTCATTTAGTTTACAGTTCAAGCAATCAGTGAAATTTGCTGCGCCAACAAGGAAAATCAAGATAAAGCGAGGTATGATAAATTCATTATATTATTATATTATTATGAAGTATCTGCGACTGGCCAATGATGCGAACGATGCGTTGTTAGTGGATTATCCAATCCAGCCAGTGAATAGTCAGACACGAGACGTTTTTGGATGTACAGCCGAATCGGGCGACCACTCTCATAGCATGTCATAAGCGACTACATATTCAAAACACCAAAATTTTCCCAGACAAAGCACCTGCACTGTTTGGAACCTCTTAACTAATAAACCACTGAACGACCTCCCTTCATAAGCCATCGCGACCACTTTTTGCCCACTATTTTTTTTGAATTCTCGCTTTTTAAAACTTTATCGCACTTATTCCATCTCGTCGTCAAGTATTGGCAAATTCTTCTGGTAATAAATTGTAAAGACTATCTAAGTTCAGGGAAAGAAAAAGAAAGTCGTCGTATTGTGTTTTCGTCCTCTATAAAACGTGAAATTAGCCACTATCACGTCGTAGTCGTGTAGTGACGGCAAAGAGATGTACGAAAAAGCGTGATCCACGTGCTCATTGATTTTTTGAGGCCGCAGCGAGGGTTTCCAAATGTGGCACTCAGGAATATGAATATTCAAGAGCACTAAACGCGAGTTACACGTTTCCAACCCCTTATGAGTTTCTGTTGTAACTCATAGGTAACCCAGGCTCTGTGTTAGGGCCACAGTATGATTCCAGTAAATTTACAGTGTTTGTATGGGGTAAAAATACGATCCTTTAATTTGTAGGAAATACTAAACAAATAAAAGTCGATGAAACTTACTCGACTTACTCTGCAGTTAGTTTCTGTTGTCCTTAATGCTCTCACGACGTTTCGTGATAATTTTTCAAATTCACCCTCCATACAGTAACACCAAACTTTAAGGACAACAACTACTAACTGCAGAGTAAGTTTCATTGGCTTTTATTTAGGATCGTATTTTCACCCCATACAAACAACACTGGGATCTTACTGAGGCTACCACAGAAACTGGCTATCTGTAACTCACAAGTCTTATTTATTCAGTGGATACACTTAGTTGAGGGCAAGAAATCTTGATCTTCCCGTCACACCTTGGTATTTGCTGTGGTCGCTTACGATACTTAGGTTCGTCAGGGGCTCCTGGGTTCGTAATGTTTTTTTTTACTGCAATTGTTACTGCTTGGTGATGGAGCAGCATATGACCGGCGAGTTTCAGCCCCACAGCTTATCTGCGTCCGAATACTATTAAAATATGTCTATCACATCCATTACCAGACTAGTACATTGCCAAATACAAACCCGCTGGTAGGCTTAGCATTTCTCTGAGGATCGATCCCTTTTCGTTGTAGGTTCTACGGATTAATTGACAAACTCACTGAGATGCTATGTACAACTGAACTTGACTTGTCTTCTTTGGTAAGAAAAGAATTTGAGACATGCTTAAATACGCGTACGTTCAACACATGAAGTTCTCATTATTTATTGACCTTGTTTCGTTGTTAGTCATAACCGTTACAATTTCCTCACATTTGATTGGTGCATAAACAGCCTTATTTTTCACCGACTATTCTGTAGGATTGTAATCGGACAGTTGGCTGTAATTGGACAGTTACACCAGCCAATCACATTTAGTGCAATCGGTTAAATCCACCAATCACAGAATTTATCACAATAACCGTAGCAAGAAAATGCAAGAACCTCTTCCTTACAAAACTGGGGATTTTCCAAAATGGACGAATTTATATGATTTGTAACATTAGACTCCTCGTGTTGTCCAGTTGAGTCTGTAATCATACTCGGGATTAAACACTGCTAATCTGGTAATCACTCCTATGATTACAGCCGGATTACAGACCGAATTGGACTCTATTATTACCATTACTTTACAAACTAATTGTGACAAGTGAGTAAGACTGCCCGCCACGACTGACGTGGATCTTACAATCGTTAACCTACTGAATCTCGGACGGATGGATAAATACTTTCTTTTTTTCGCGTTTTCTAGAGGCGCTCTATTACCGCTTGTTTGCTGACGCTCTCTTGTGAGAATCTCGAAAATCAAAAGACTCTTCTTCGTACAACTGGACTTCAGGTAAGTGATAATATCCAAATAGAAAATACACAGACTAATGTGCATGCACTCCAACGACACTGCCTACATGGAGCTAGTATCAAATTAGAATTAAGAGATGTCTTTATCACGTAAGAGGGTATATATTGTGGTTACTCTCCTGTTAATTGTAGGAGCACTTGGCCTCAGTCTCTTTTGAAAACTGGAGTGCTTGGGAGGAGAATGAAGCTGCTCAGTTGATGAAGTTTCTTGGGCTTGATCAGACAGGTGAGAAATTTGATATAGGTGCAATAATTATATAAATGTTCATGTTGTGTAACCACACTAAAGATTTTTCTAGCCTGTTCACAGAACCTCTATTTTCTCTTCTCAGTCCGTCGAGCGCGCCTGATAAAAAACAAAAAACCGCGGGGGATTTATTGACCGCCAGCGCAAGAGGGTAGGGGTGGGGGAAGACGAAATTAGACGCTCTCCGCTCTCTCTTCTCTCTCCGCGCTCGTTCTCGCGCTCGCCGATGTTTTGGAAAAGAACGAAAAGAAAAATAAAACAACGTCTGTGAAAAGGCTACGATTTTTCAATCGCACTCAGTTGGATTTCAGCATCCCGCACTTTACAGTTTCTAAATTTCTTAAGGTAATTGCCAGACTAAACAGTCGGAAACAAGAGGAATTAACGGGATAAAATAGAACGACACTGTTCGACTGGAAACGTTTCCAATCGAATCGAAGCGATCCATTGGCGTTTCGACCGAAATTGAAAGACTGAAAATGAAAGTTTAGGTGCGACTGATCAAAGAGGACTAGCCTGCAATTGAGCAAGCTCTCCCGGGGTGCTCTGGCGGCGGGGCAAAAAATGATGGAGAACCCCAGAAGAGCCTGCTCGCGGGTTAGAGGGGACCTTCATTGGGGGTGGACCACTTTGACGGAAAAATTTCAACGCGAACCGAAGCGTTCCATTTATTTCTCGATGGAGTTTTGGCATAATGGAAAGCAGCCGTTGTCTTCTCGAGTCGGGAGCGGTTCTATTTTCTTCAACCGTCCCAGAGTTTTCCATGGTCAGCGATAATATTAATTCGCCACGGTATTACACCCAGTCTGATCAGACTAACTTCTGATTGCATGTTTTTTGAAAATGTAGTTAAAAAAATGGACGCGNTTTTCTTCAACCGTCCCAGAGTTTTCCATGGTCAGCGATAATATTAATTCGCCACGGTATTACACCCAGTCTGATCAGACTAACTTCTGATTGCATGTTTTTTGAAAATGTAGTTAAAAAAATGGACGCGAATTTACTGAAACCTACAAAAAAGACAAGACGGAAAAAAGCCCTCAAATCATACGTAACGAGCAAAGGAAATAACATCCGGGAGGAAAGGAAGGAAAAAGAAAAAAAAAGTGATTTTTTGAACTCTCAGTTTTTATATTGGCTACTTTGGTGGTCTCTTTTAGCTGATCAGATAGTTGTGAGAAGATATGAAATTTATAATATTTGAACTGCGTAGTAGAGCGAATTTAAAAAACACTGGAATAATCCTTGCAGTTCTTTTTACACAACCGAAGGTGCTAAATCACGCCATTTGTTACATGTATATTATTAAAAAGATGAAACCTGTCTTTACATCAATTGAAATCTAAACTCAAACTGTTTTCTGTCGTCTGTTATATTTACGGATGGCAACTAAGTTCTCCCTGAAGAAATTTGTTTGACATCTTCATAACTCTACAGGAGCTTTTTGTGTATGGCCGGCGGTAAGCACCAAGTGCACAGAATTCACCAAAGGCCTAGCTTGCAGTGCAGGCGTATTTCGGGCGGGCGAAAGCTGCTTGGTTATGTTCGTACTGTTGTAACCGCTATCTTTGATGTTATGACGTAGGAAGATTAGGTTGCCCAATTTTCTCCTCTCTTTTCGAGTTTCAACATTGCGCTTTCGGGAGCAAAACATTCGCCCGCCCGATGAAAACGCCTGCACTGCAGACTATTAAAGGCCAGGTTCAGACGCTGAACTTTTCAGTCGATGTAATTTTAAAGCCGGAAAATTTCCGTTTTTTCACAAGTGTATCCACAGCTAGCATTTGGGACACACATTTGAGGTTCTTTCTGGTATCTGGGATAGTCGGAAATGGTAAACTCTCTCGTCCCTCCCGAATCATTTCCATTCCCGATATATGAACTTACCATCACACGGAACCGGACGAATTTTGGACGGGTGGAAAATTCGTGCGTTTCGGTGTTCCGTTCACCCCTTGACCGTACGAAAATTTAGACGCATAGCCGTTCAAAGGTCCGTGAACAGAGCCAAAACGGCTCCGTGTGAACGTAGTCATAGCTTTTGAGTAGTAGCTCCAAAACCATAATTGATAAACTACAACTGGAATCCAATTTCGAAAACCTCCTAATAATTCTAACCAAAACCCACTTCACTGCTATAATTTCACGTCCGAATCAAATTTCGTTCTCCTTGGAGATTCGAAAAATCAGGATTCCACGTTTTAGTTTAACCTCCGTGAAAGGTGGTCGAAAGGGAGGCTACTTTGAAGGTCATACGCAGACGGAGACTATTTGTTTTCCAGAATCAACCCTTCTACGGGAAAGCTGAAGCTTTTCCGGTCATTAACCCGCCATGAAAGAGGACCAAAAAAGCGGGAAATAACCACATCTTTTCTTTACAGTTGACAGGGGGTCCAGATGGTCAAAGATAAGAGCACCGGGTTCTAGACTTGCCGGGGAGGCATACGCATCTAGCATTCCACATAGCGACTGATTTTAAAGACAAAACTACTGTGACACATAGAATCAGAGGTCAGAAATGATTATACATTTATTTTGAAGCCCTTAAAAATATATACAATGGGCAACACAAACGTTTCTTTGTCTCGTGAGCTCTTAAGAGGCCTACAACTATTCAGTCGATCAATTTAAGAAGAAACTTGCACCAAGAATGGTGCTATTTTCAGTTTCTCCGTCATTTTTAAAAAGCATTACAGTGTAACACGTTTTCGATGGCTGTAATGATTAAAAATAATACAAATATGAAAACGAAACTGCATAAAATCTATGTCACCTGTAAAAAAGCGATTTTAATACCTTAATTACTCAAAAATGCCCCACGTTTTTAACCTTGAAAATCCTCGAACAGTGTTTTTTTTTTTATATAAGATGATCTCTAGTTTTTTTGTCCAATTAACTTTCTCTGGTGTCACTAATTCGATCACTTAAAATGTTTGATTATATGAAGCCTGAAAAAAGAAACACCTCTTTACAGACATAAGATTATAAAGCTTGCTTTGCACGTTTCCTTTGTCTATTCGCACTTCAGGGATAGATAAAATCAACATAACAGTATGTATGTTACACGTGTATAAATGAAATGTAATGTAATGTTCACTGCGAGCTCATGAACGCTTCGTGCTTCGTGTCACACGCGAAGTACTCTCCATCTCCTGCTTACATTGCCTAGTTGATCGGGTGTTTTTTGCTGATTTTGTTTGCCTAGAATCGTTTGTCACTGTTGCTGTCACCTCAGCTGGACTCGTGTTGCGTGTACGTCTTGTTGATCTGCGTGCGTGAGTATTTTCTTGAATTTCCTGACTACTGGCGCTCGGCATGGGATCGGACTCCTTAACAGCAGGATCGCTTGAGGCGTTGCGTTTCGACTCGCGTTTTTGCCGAGTTTTCTTCACGAGACTATCTTGATGTGCTTTGGTAGTTTCTTCAACAATAATCTTCTCGGGTTTACTGTTCCTGGTACTTCTTTTTGAACTAGAATATTCTTCACTGTTTTGACTTGGTGCGGATTTAGTACTCTTCGAAACAGGAGCATTTTCTTCAACTGTTTTAGACCCCCTTTTAGATCGCCTCGATTCATTAATTACTGGTTTTTCCTCATGAGGGAGAACTTCAGCTCTTCGGCTACGGGTTACTCTTTCTTTTTTCGGTGACGACACTTCATTTTCGTCGACTTTGACGTCTAGATTCGATTCTTCTTGAACTTTCTTCTCACGTGTTACCAGAGGACTTGGTTTAACCCCACGTTTTCGTCGTGTTAACTTGACAACACTCTCTTGCCCAGCTTCCTCTTCACTGGTGAGATTCTCGGCCTGACTCTTTCGCGTACGTCTTCTAGAACTTCTATCTTCACTCCTTTGAGTTGCTGTGGATTCAGACTTCAAATCAGAAACGTTTTCTTCAACTGTTTTAGACCGGCCACGTTTAGACCGTCTGGTCAATTCAACATTTGCTTGTTTTCTTTCTGGAGGTATAACTTCGGCTCTTCGGTTACGGGTAACTCGAGGCTTAACTGGTGATGACAATATCTTGCCTTCGACTTCACTGTCTTCTTTCGATTTTTCTTCAACTTTTTTCTGATGTGTTACTACACTACCGGCTTTACGTCCTTGATCTCGCTTACTTTTCTTAGCTGAGCGGCCCTCTTCTGCGTCCTCTCTATAAGACTCCTCCGAGGAAGACTCGACTTCGCTTCGACCGCGCTTGCCACGGCGACAACTCGGTAAGGAAGAACCTACCGTTTTTGTCTCTTTAACAGCTGTTCTTCTCGTTTGCCTCTTCTCTTGTGGAGCATCGTTGTTCTCTATTTGGGTAACAGGAGTTAAGGTAAAAGGCTGTTGCATGTTGTTGAACGACTGCAGCCCTGGGGAAGGAACCTCAATAATAGGGTCCAGTGGTGTGCGCTTAAAAACATTTCGTTTGGGGGTCTGCTTGTTAGCTACTGGATTCTTCTTAACTCGTGCACTCGTTTTCTTCTCAGATGCTTTAGGATTATTCTCAGGCTCGCTTTCCTTTTCCTGCTGGATTGATGCCCGAGTACGGCGAACTCTTTTAGGCTCCGGTACGGTTAAACCTTTAGGTGCAGTTCGTTTTGCTCTTGTTATTCTTGCAATATTGTCTTCTTTTTTATCCATTTTTTCTTGGGCCTCCGGCGAAGTTAGGTCTAAAACTGGTATAGAGAGTCTGGAGTTTTTTCTCTTCTGACCTGCTGGCTTGGTATCGGTCTTAGCTGCCGAAGAGTCTGCTTCTGCTGAGGCAAACAGTTCTGGATTGAAATTGTCCTCAGGATCTACAGTTTCAGTAGCTTTAGGTGTTCTCATAAGGTTCCTGAGACCAACAAAATGCGGACTGGCGAAGTCTTTTGTCTCTTGCATTAGTGCTTTTAGGCCGTCCAACTTAGGGCTTCCCATAGTAGTTACACCATTTTCAACTGGTGTCCTAAGCAATCGAGCAACTCCTTGTAAGCCTTCGCTCTTACGTGAGAAACGTTTGGGTTGCGGTTTGGGCGATGTGAACAAGCTAGCTTCAAAGAAATCCTCAGAATTTTCGACGGAGTGGGTCTGTTTCGGAGACTTCAGTAAGCGCCTCAGTCCTTGAAGACCGAGACTTTGCCTGTCTTTTCTCTGTTTTCCAACGCTCTTTAACGAGACTGTTTGAGCTTCATCTGCCGGACGAAAAGACGGAGTTTGTTTTGACTCTAATGGCGACACAAAGTCTAGTTGAAGCGCGGGGGATTCATTGGTCACAATAGACGAATGCTTCTTCGCGGAACGTAAAGATGGAGTACAAGACAGGTGAACTGGAGTAACGAATTGGAGAGAGACAACCTCTTCGGCTGAGTGGCGAAGGGAAGGCGTTGTACTCAATTTCAAAGGTTCAATAAGATGAAGCATCGCCTGTGGGGAAGTGCCATCTGCATTCACTGAGGAAAGCGAAGCGTTGGAATTTTGTTCAGGAGTTGCCACTTTAACATCTCGAGTGTCCTCACATCTTCGTAAAGACGGCGTATTGGTTGGTTTAACAGCTGCTATCGAGTGTAATCCTTGTTCGCCAGGACTTGCAGCTTTCTCGACAGATGACCCAGTGAATCTAGCAACGGATGGAGGCGTAACAAACATTTCAGCGATTCCAGCCAGATCTTCAGTTGATATGCCCACACGTCTACGTGGGCCATTGGTAACCTTCGCTAGACTTGACAACCAATTTCCCTTCGTTTGATTCTTTGGGGGGTTTTCAGCAGCTACCAGAGATGCCGGTGGTGTAGCAAACATTTCTGCCACACCTTCAAAGTCTTCCATGGGAGCACTGTGTGTTTTAGCATCCTTTACGGCTAGTCCAAGGCTTGACATCCAGTTAGCGCTTTTCCGTCGAGGCGTTTTCTTCTCGTTAAAACTGGTGCTATTGCGTCTTTCTTTCGATTGACCTCCACTCTGTGCGTTCCTTGAGGCTTCTGCGTAAAATTAAATGTGAAATGTCACTAATTAAGGGTCATTAAGCAAAATATTTTACAGTCTGGTAAATATTCATTATATTATTATATTATTATGAAGTATCTGCGACTGGCCAATGATGCGAACGATGCGTTGTTAGTGGATTATCCAATCCAGCCAGTGAATAGTCAGACACGAGACGTTTTTGGATGTACAGCCGAACCGTGCGACCACTCTCATAGCATGTCATAAGCGACTACATATTCAAAACACCAAAATTTTCCCAGACAAAGCACCACTGTTTGGAACCTCTTAACTAATAAACCACTGAACGACCTCCCTTCATAAGCCATCGCGACCACTTTTTGCCCACTATTTTTTTTGAATTCTCGCTCTTTAAAACTTTATCGCACTTATTCCATCTCGTTGTCAAGTATTGGCAAATTCTTCTGGTAATAAATTGCAAAAACTATCTAAGTTCAGGAAAAGAAAAAGAAAGTCGTCGTCTTGTGTTTTCGTCCTCTATAAAACGTGAAATTGGCCACTTTCACGTCGTAGTCGTGTAGTGACGGCAAAGAGATGTACAAAAAAGCGTGATCCACGTGCTCATTGCTTTTTTGAGGCGGCAGCGAGGGTTTCCAAATGTGGTACTCAGAAATCTGAATATTCAAGAGCACTAAACGCGAGTTACACGTTTCCAACCCCTTATGAGTTTCTGTTGTAACTCATGGGTAACCCAGGCTCTGTGTTAGGGCCACAGTATGATTCCAGTAAATTTACAGTGTTTGTATGGGGTAAAAATACGATCCTTTAATTTGTAGAAAATACTAAACAAATAAAAGTCAATGAAACTTACTCGACTTACTCTGCAGTTAGTTTCTGTTGTCCTTAATGCTCTCACGACGTTTCGTGATAATTTGTCAAATTCACCCTCCATACAGTAACACCAAACTTTAAGGACAACAACTACTAACTGCAGAGTAAGTTTCATTGGCTTTTATTTAGGATCGTATTTTCACAACATACAAACACCACTGGGATCTTACTGCGGCTACCACAGAAACTGGCTATCTGTAACTCACAAGTCTTATTTATTCAATGGATACACTTAATTAGTTGAGAGCAAGAAATCTTGATCTTCCCGTCACACCTTGGTATTTGCTGTGGTCGCTTACGATACTTAGGTTCGTAATGTTTTTTTTTACTGCAATTGTTACTGCTTGGTGATGGAGCAGCATATGACCGGCGAGTTTCAGCCCCACAGCTTATTTGCGTCCGAATGCTATTAAAATATGTCTGTCACATCCATTACCAGACTAGTACGTTGCCAAATACAAACGCGCTGGTAGGCTTAGCATTTCTCTGAGGATCGATCCCTTTTCGTTGTAGGTTCTACGGATTAATAGACAAACTCACTGAGATGCTATATACAACTGAACTTGACTTGTCTTCTTTGGTAAGAAAAGAATTTGAGACATGCTTAAATACGCGTACGTTCAACACATGAAGTTCCCATTATTTATTGACCTTGTTTCGTCGTTAGTCATAACCGTTACAATTTCCTCACATTTGATTGATGCATAAACAGCCTTATTTTTCACTGACTATTGTGTAGGATTGTAATCGGACAGTTGGCTGTAATTGGACAGTTACACCAGCCAATCACATTTAGTGCACTCGGTTAAATCCACCAATCACAGAATTTATCACAATAACCGTAGCAAGAAAATGCAAGAACCTCTTCCTTACAAAACTGGGGATTTTCCAAAATGGACGAATTTGTATGATTTGTAACATTAGACTCGTCGTGTTGTTCAGTTGAGTCTGTAATCATACTCGTGATTAAACACTGCTAATCTGGTAATCACTCCTATGATTACAGCCGGATTACAGACCGAACTGGACTCTACTCAGTCCCATTACCATTACTTTACAAACTAATTGTGACAAGTGAGTAAGACTGCCCGCCACGACTGACGTGGATCTTACAATCGTTAACCTACTGAATCTCGGACGGATGGATAAATACTTTCTTTTTTTCGCGTTTCCTAGAGGCGCTCTATTACTGCTTGTTTGCTGACGCTCTCTTGTGAGAATCTCGAAAATCAAAAGACTCTTCTTCATACAACTGGACTTCAGGTAAGTGATAATATCCAAATAGAAAATACACAGACTAATGTGCATGCACACCAACGACACTGCCTACATGGAGCTTCTAGTATCAAATTAGAATTGAGAGATGTCTTACTGGTTACTCTCCTGTTAATTGTAGGAGCACTTGGCCTCAGTCTCTTTAGAAAACTGGAGTGCTTGGGAGGAGAATGAAGCTGCTCAGTTGATGAAGTTTCTTGGGCTTGATCAGACAGGTGATAGATTTGATATACAGTAAAAACCCGCAACTAAGAACCTACATTTTCAGGAGTTAGCCTAAACAGGTTCTTATATAAATGGTACTTAACAGAATTTTACGCTATTTAGGTTCTTAAAATGGGTTCTTAATCCTGGAGAAAAAAACAATGCATAATGGTGTGCTGAACAACATATTGCTTAGTATGATTTGTAAGTCTACATACCTTCCTTCCTTTTTCTTTAAAAATTTTTTTTACAACAATGGCAATCTGCTTTTTTTGCTTCAAATATGATTCTTGTATCGCAGCTGTAATGTACTAGTATGATTTTAGAAAATAAGAACCTGTTTTAAATTTCTTAGGCTAAATAGGTTCTTGTTTATAGGAGGTATAAATGACCAATTTTAGGCTAACAGGTTCTTAATTTTTAGGTTCTTAGTTGCGGGTTTTTATTGTAGGTGTAATAATTATATAAATGTTCATGTTGTGTAACCACAATAAAGATTTTTCTAGCCTGTTCACAGAACCTCTATTTTCTCTTCTCAGTCCGTCGAGCGCGCGTGATAAAAAACTAAAAACCGCGGGGGATTTATTGACCGCCAGCGCAAGAGAGTAGGGGTGGGGGAAGACGAAATTAGACGCTCTCCGCGCTCGCCGATGTTTTGGAAAAGAACGAAAAGAAAAATAAAACAAAGTCTGTGAAAAGGCTACGATTTTTCAATCGCACTCAGTTGGATTTCAGTATCCCGCACTTTACAGTTTCTAAATTTCTTAAGGTAATTGCCAAACCAAACAGTCGGAAACAAGAGGAATTAACGGGATAAAATAGAACGACACTGTTCGATTGGAAACGTTTCCAATCGAATCGAAGCGATCCATTGGCGTTTCGACCGAAATTGAAAGACTGAAAACGAAAGTTTAGGTCCGACTGATCAAAGAGGACTAGCCTGCGATTGAACAAGCTCTCCCGGGGTGCTCTGGCGGCGGGGCAAAAAATGATGGAGAACCTCAGAAGAACCTGCTCGCGGGTTAGAGGGGACCTTCAATGGGGGTGGACCACTTTGACGGAAAAATTTCAACGCGAACCGAAGCGTTCCATTTATTTCTCGATGGAGTTTTGGCGTAATGGAAAGCAGCCGTTGTCTTCTCGAGTCGGGAGCGGTTCTATTTTCTTCAACCGTCCCAGATTTTTCCATGGTCAGCGATAATATTAATTCGTCTCGGGATTACACCCAGTCTGATCAGACTAACTTCTCATTGCATGTTTTTGAAAATGTAGTTAAAAAAATGGACGCGAATTCACTGAAACCTACAAAAAAGGACAAGACGGAAAAAAGCCCTTAAATCATACGTAAGGAGCAAAGGAAATAACATCCGGGAGGAAAGGAAGGAAAAAGAAAAAAAAAGTAATTTTTTGAACTCTCAGTTTTTATATTGGCTACTTTGGAGGTCTCTTTTAGCTGACCAGATAGTTATGACAAGATATGAAATTTATAATATTTGAACTGCGTAGTAAAGCGAATTTAAAAAACACTGGAATAATCCTTGCAGTTCTTTTTTACACAACCGAAGGGGCTAAATCACGCCATTTGTTATATGTATATTATTAAAAAGATGAAACCTGTCTTTACATCAATTGAAATCTAAACTCAAACTGTTTTCTGTCGTCTGTTATATTTACGGATGGCAACTAAGTTCTCCCTGAAGAAATTTATTTGACATCTTCATAACTCCACAGGAGCATTTTGTGTATGGCCGACGGTAAGCACCAAGTGCACAGAATTCGTCAAAGGCCTAGCTTGCAGTGCAGGCCTATTTTGGGCGGGCGAAAGCTGCTTGGTTATGTTCGTACTGTTGTAACCGCTATCTTTGATGTTATGACGGAGGAAGATTAGTTTGCCCACAGGCGGCCCAAGCTCAGTGTGTGAGGTTAATCGTTAACACATGTAGTTTCATATTGCGTAATTTAAAATGGCCGTGAATATAAAGGATTTGTATGGGAATTCAGGTAAAAGATTCAAATCGATGAATACTCGCTAGAATGTTCAATAAAATACAGCTTACCGAGTTTACTTTGCTTGTTTTTGTTTGCTGTGTGGTTATTTTTCCGATCCATTGCGATTTAAGCGATTTCCTTTAACCGGAGTTAAACGCAATGGATCGGAAAAATAACCACACAGCAAACAAAAACAAGCAAAGTAAACTCGGTAAGCTGTATTTTATTGAACATTCTAGCGAGTATTTATCGATTTGAATCTTTTACCTGAATTCCCATACAAATCCTTTATATTCACGGCCATTTTAAATTACGCAATATGAAACTACATGTGTTAACGATTAACCTCACACACTGAGCTTGGGCCGCCTGTGGTTTGCCCAATTTTCTCCTCTCTTTTCGAGTTTCAACATTGCGCTTTCGCGAGCAAAACATTCGCCCGCCCGATGAAAACGCCTGCACTGCAGGATATCAAAGGCCAGGTTCAGACGCTGAACTTTTCAGTCGATGTAATTTTAAAGCCGGAAAATTTCCGTTTCTTCACAAATGTATCCACAGCATTTGGGACAGACATCTGAGGTTCTTTCTGGTATCTGGCATAGTCGGAAATGGTAAACTCCCTCGTCCCTCCCGGATCATTTCCATTCCCGATATATGAACTTACCATCACGCGGAACCGGACGAATTTTGGACGGGTGGAAAATTCGGGCGTTTCGGTGTTCCGTTCACACCTTGACCGTAAGAAAATTTAGACGCATAGCCGTTCAAAGGCCCGTGTGAACAGAGCCAAAATATTGAACGGCCCCGTGTGAACGTAGTCATAGCTTTTGAGTAGTAGCTCCAAAACCATAATTGATAAACTACAACTGGAATCCAATTTCGAAAACCTCCTAATAATTCGAACCAAAACCCACTTCACTGCTATAATTTCACGTCCGAATCAAACTTCGTTCTCCTTGGAGATTCGAAAAATCAGGATTCCACGTTTTAGTTTAACCTGCGTGAAAGGTGGTCAAAACGGAAGGGAAAGGACATTTTGAGCGCGCAGGCGCAGGCTACTTTGAAGGTCATACGCAGACGGAGACTATTTGTTTTCCAGAATCAACCCTTCTACCGGGAAAGCTGAAGCTTTTCCGGTCATTAACCCGCCACGAAACAGGACCAAAAAAGCGGGAAATAACCACATCTTTTCTTTACAGTTGACAGGGGGTCCAGATGGTCAAAGATAAGAGCACCGGGTTCTAGACTTGCTGAGGAGGCATACGCATCTAGCATTCAAGAGCATTCCACATAGCGACTGATTTTAAAGACAAAACTACTGTGACACATAGAATCAGATGTCAGAAATGATTATACATTTATTTTGAAGCCCTTAAAAATATATACAATGGGCAACACGAACGTTTCTTTGTCTCGTGAGCTCTTAGAGGCCTACAACTTCAGTCGATCAATTTAAGAAGAAACTTGCACCAAGAATGGTGCTATTTTCAGTTTCTCCGTCATTTTTAAAAAGTATTACAGTGTAACACGTTTTCGATGGCTGTAATGATAAAAAAATAATACAAATATGAAAACGAAACTGCATAAAATCTATGCCACCTGTAAAAAAGCGATTTTAATACCTTAATTACTCAAAAATGCCCCACGTTTTTAACCTTGAAAACCCCCCAACACTGTTTTTTTTTCATATAAGATGATCTCTAGCTTTTTGTCCAATTAACTTTCTCTGGTGTCACTAATTCGATCACTTAAAATGTTTGATTATATGAAGCCTAAAAAAAGAAACACCTCTTTACAAACATAAGATTATAAAGCGAGCTTTGCACGTTTCCTTTGTCTATTCGCACTTCAGGGATAAATAAAATCAACATAACAGTATGTATGTTACACGTGTATAAATGAAATGTAATGTAATGTTCACTGCGAGCTCATGAAGGCTTCGTGCTTCGTGTCACACGCGAAGTACTCTCCATCTCCTGCTTACATTGCCTAGTTGATCGGGTGTTTTTTGCTGATTTGGTTTGCCTAGAATCGTTTCTCACTGTTGCTGTCACCTCAGCTGGACTCGTGTTGCGTGTACGTCTTGTTGATCTGCGTGCTGGAGTATTTTCTTGAATTTCCTGACTACTTGCGCTCGGCATGGGATCGGACTCCTTAACAACAGGATCGCTTGAGGCGTTGCGTTTCGACTCGCGTTTTGGCCGAGTTTTCTTCACGAGACTATCTTGATCTGCTTTGGTAGTTTCTTCAACAATGATCTTCTCGGGTTTACTGTTCCTTGTACTTCTTTTTGAACTAGAATATTCTTCACTGTTTTGACTTGGTGCGGATTTAGTACTCTTCGAAACAGGAGCATTTTCTTCAACTATTTTAGACCCTCGTTTAGATCGCCTCGATTCATTAATTACTACTGGTTTTTCCTCATGAGGGAGAACTTCAGCTCTTCGGCTACGGGTTACTCTTTCTTTTTTCGGTGACGACACTTCATTTTCGTCCACTTTGACGTCTAGATTCGATTCGTCTTGAACTTTCTTCTCACGTGTTACCAGAGGACCTGGTTTAACCCCACGTTTTCGTCGTGTTAACTTGACAACACTCTCTTGCCCAGCTTTCTCTTCACTGGTGAGATTCTCGGCCTGACTGTTTCGCGTACGTCTTCTAGAACTACTATCTTCACTCCTTTGAGTTGCTGTGGATTCAGACTTCAAATCAGAAACGTTTTCTTCAACTGTTTTAGACCGGCCACGTTTAGACCGTCTGGTCAATTCAACATTTGCTTGTTTTCTTTCTGGAGGTATAACTTCGGCTCTTCGGTTACGGGTAACTCGAGGCTTAACTGGTGATGACAATATCTTGCCTTCGACTTCACTGTCTTCTTTCGATTTTTCTTCAACTTTTTTCTGATGTGTTACTACACTACCGGCTTTACGTCCTTGATCTCGCTTACTTTTCTTAGCTGAGCGGCCCTCTTCTGCGTCCTCTCTATAAGACTCCTCCGAGGAAGACTCGACTTCGCTTCGACCGCGCTTGCCACGGCGACAACTCGGTAAGGAAGAACCTACCGTTTTTGTCTCTTTAACAGCTGTTCTTCTCGTTTGCCTCTTCTCTTGTGGAGCATCGTTGTTCTCTATTTGGGTAACAGGAGTTAAGGTAAAAGGCTGTTGCATGTTGTTGAACGACTGCAGCCCTGGGGAAGGAACCTCAATAATAGGGTCCAGTGGTGTGCGCTTAAAAACATTTCGTTTGGGGGTCTGCTTGTTAGCTACTGGATTCTTCTTAACTCGTGCACTCGTTTTCTTCTCAGATGCTTTAGGATTATTCTCAGGCTCGCTTTCCTTTTCCTGCTGGATTGATGCCCGAGTACGGCGAACTCTTTTAGGCTCCGGTACGGTTAAACCTTTAGGTGCAGTTCGTTTTGCTCTTGTTATTCTTGCAATATTGTCTTCTTTTTTATCCATTTTTTCTTGGGCCTCCGGCGAAGTTAGGTCTAAAACTGGTATAGAGAGTCTGGAGTTTTTTCTCTTCTGACCTGCTGGCTTGGTATCGGTCTTAGCTGCCGAAGAGTCTGCTTCTGCTGAGGCAAACAGTTCTGGATTGAAATTGTCCTCAGGATCTACAGTTTCAGTAGCTTTAGGTGTTCTCATAAGGTTCCTGAGACCAACAAAATGCGGACTGGCGAAGTCTTTTGTCTCTTGCATTAGTGCTTTTAGGCCGTCCAACTTAGGGCTTCCCATAGTAGTTACACCATTTTCAACTGGTGTCCTAAGCAATCGAGCAACTCCTTGTAAGCCTTCGCTCTTACGTGAGAAACGTTTGGGTTGCGGTTTGGGCGATGTGAACAAGCTAGCTTCAAAGAAATCCTCAGAATTTTCGACGGAGTGGGTCTGTTTCGGAGACTTCAGTAAGCGCCTCAGTCCTTGAAGACCGAGACTTTGCCTGTCTTTTCTCTGTTTTCCAACGCTCTTTAACGAGACTGTTTGAGCTTCATCTGCCGGACGAAAAGACGGAGTTTGTTTTGACTCTAATGGCGACACAAAGTCTAGTTGAAGCGCGGGGGATTCATTGGTCACAATAGACGAATGCTTCTTCGCGGAACGTAAAGATGGAGTACAAGACAGGTGAACTGGAGTAACGAATTGGAGAGAGACAACCTCTTCGGCTGAGTGGCGAAGGGAAGGCGTTGTACTCAATTTCAAAGGTTCAATAAGATGAAGCATCGCCTGTGGGGAAGTGCCATCTGCATTCACTGAGGAAAGCGAAGCGTTGGAATTTTGTTCAGGAGTTGCCACTTTAACATCTCGAGTGTCCTCACATCTTCGTAAAGACGGCGTATTGGTTGGTTTAACAGCTGCTATCGAGTGTAATCCTTGTTCGCCAGGACTTGCAGCTTTCTCGACAGATGACCCAGTGAATCTAGCAACGGATGGAGGCGTAACAAACATTTCAGCGATTCCAGCCAGATCTTCAGTTGATATGCCCACACGTCTACGTGGGCCATTGGTAACCTTCGCTAGACTTGACAACCAATTTCCCTTCGTTTGCTTCTTTGGGGGGGTTTCAGCAGCTACCAGAGATGCCGGTGGTGTAGCAAACATTTCTGCCACACCTTCAAAGTCTTCCATGGGAGCACTGTGTGTTTTAGCGTCCTTTACGGCTAGTCCAAGGCTTGACATCCAGTTAGCGCTTTTCCGTCGAGGCGTTTTCTTCTCGTTTAAACTGGTGCTATTGCGTCTTTCTTTCGATTGACCTCCACTCTGTGCGTTCCTTGAGGCTTCTGCGTAAAATTAAATGTGAAATGTCACTAATTAAGGGTCATTAAGCAAAATATTTTACAGTCTGGTAAAGGTAGACCACGCTTTTGTGGTAAGCAGTCGAGAGCTTTCCACACACTATAACTTACGTTCAAGTTACTGACAGTTTTCTTTTTAGAAGGGCATAGACCTGAACAACTGAAAAATGTTCCAATCAAAGGTACAGGGTAGAACATGGGAGTCTGTGACAGAAGCATCCTATTTTCAGGGGCGTAGCCAGGGGAGGGTTCCAGGGCCTAATTTTTGTCACTGCGAAACGTACGAAAGCTGACTTGAATTCACAGCAATTAAAGCACTTTGGTTTGTCTCTCAGAACGCTGGAAATCGAATTTCCGATGACTCACATTTCAAAATTTCTTGGGGGGGGGCATGCTCCCGGAACTCCCTAACAAAGAGCGTCTCCGGCGCTCGGTTGTCAATCGGGCCAGCAATATTACATTAGGAACCCCCCTATGCAAAATGGCTGGCTACGCCCTTAATTTTTGTTTAAAAACACTCAAAATGTCTCTGTGGGGCTACCATTTATTAAGCAGAAATGGTACACCCAAGTATAGCCAATGTTCACAAAGGAGAACACAATAAGCAGGGGTTTCAATAAAATTGAAGCAGGCAGCAGGTTTGAATAGAGTAACCGACTATATCAACAAGGAGCCCCCGCACTAGTCCCCCTCTTCTAGGAGGGTCTGGGAATAAAAAATGTTGAAATTGAAAAGCCCCAAAATGCGATTTCCAGAGTTCATTCAGTTTCGATATATCAGCCACACAATCAACTCCTACCAACAAAGAACAAATGTCGATAATCAAATAAGGTAGATTTGCATGTGAACAAATCCGTGTAAACCTATAAATAAACGTGTGAAATATTGACTGAACTACAGCGTTCACATAATAGGCCTTTGTGAAAACACATGATGTTTCCAACAGACTTTATGATATATTATTTGTTTACGAAGTTATTAAAACTAGTTGCTTCTTCTTTCGGGAAAAAAGGAGCCGACTTCTTCGATCAAAGTAGCCGACGTGTTTCGTCGGTCATGGGTGCTTGATTGAAATCCCTGAATGAATGAAATTAAATCCCCTTGAGCTTTATATCCGTGCAGATGGATCTGACTGACGACACATGATTTGAACTTGTGGAGACGGCGCAGCCATCAGACACACGCAAAGCCACTTTTGCGAGTGGATTTTGCAGGGTGAAAGGCTGCAGTACCTTCATTCTCAATTAATTTAAGACCCTGAGTATTGATCTAGTTCTTGGAATTGAACGCGCACTCGCATTCGTCAGGCTAGCGCTTTACCGACAGAGCTTACCCGGCCGCGGTTTAACTAAGGACATGAAGTAATTAGTTCTATAAAATACCAACTGCTTACTACCTACCTGGTCTAGTAAGAACACCAGAAGTCGTAGCGAGTGGGGCAGAATCCATCTACATAAACAAAGAAAACGCTATTAACTTGATTGATCAGTCTCATATAATCAAAG